GCTCCTTCTACTGAGCCATCTCCCGGCCCCTTCTAGTATTTAAAGGTGTATTGATTTCTGATAGATAGAGAACTGTCAGTAAGCAGCTAGGGAAAAGAACCGGTGAAAAACTCCTTGTCAGATCATTAACATTTTCCCACTTAATGTGCAGTTAATTACAAAATTAAAGAAAATAACTCATCTGGCATGCTAATTAATTAGGGTTTGGCTGCAATTGTATTTGAGCAGGGAGGAAGAAAAGTATGCTGAAGTGGTCTTTGAAATACAAATAATTTTTTTGCTAAGAGCTCTCTTTTTATTTTTTAAAAAATTATCTATTCATTTATTTTATTTATTTGCTTATTTATTTATTTATTTATTTAGTGTGTGTATGTGGCCAGCCCAGCCCACCAGGGAGCAGGGCTGGCAGGCATGTGGTGCTGGGGGATTGAACCGCGGTCCCTGTGCTTTGCTTAGCTTAGCTTAGTTTAGCTTATTCTAAGTAGGTGCTTTAGACCACTGAGCCATCTCCCCAGCCCGAGCTCTCTTTTAGAAAATAATTCCCTCAGCATTTGGTCTGACATGGTTCTTTGTTGGGTGATTGTTTTTATTTATTTATTTATTTTTTGGAACCGGGGATTGAACTCAGGCCCTTGTGCTTGCCAGGGAAGCGCTTATTCCACTGAACTATCTTCCCAACCCCCTTGGGTGATTGTTGAATCAGGAACATTTATTGAGATTCTCTTGTGCAAAACACTTGCGGGTGCTGGGCTCAAGAGGATCTTACTTTGTTTTGAACACAGCTAAAGCCCCTTGTCTCACAGCTTCCATCCTTGTGGAAAATGTTGCGGGAATTAGTTGTTGTGTTGGGATGGTTCTGGGGAGAAGGGCTGTAATCAGGTGCTGCCGTGCCTGTACTGCCCACCTTCTGAGGGAGGCAGACATCGCGTGGTAAGGAACAGGGTTGTCTTGCTGGAGAGAGAAGAGATTTGGCTTTGAGAGTTGGTATTTTTTCAGTTTCTCTGACCACGAGATATTTTGCTCCTTCTAACATCTGTTAGCATCCCGTGGAATATGGTTTTCATGCACCCCTTTGGGAAATCTATTATACCTGGAGTTGTCCTCAGGGAGGTGCTGAAGGCTTGACAGGGAAGGAGAGGAGCTAGTGTCATTTTATGCAAAGATGAGGTTCCTGACCAAATATTAGAGTAAGCGTGTTGATTATAGTGATCCTGATTAGAGCTTTGCCTGAATTCGACAGGGAGGCTGATTCAAGTCTGAAACCAGAGCCCGCAGAAGCCTTTTTCATAGAAAGGTCTATCAGTAGCTGTTTTAAGGGGCAGGCTTTATATTAAAACTTGCTAAGATTAGTGCCCATGGAGGTCCATTGGGATTTAATAATCCACTGCTCTCAGTGGAAAATTACCAGAAATTGTTTTCTTGGTTACAGGTAAATTTGCCTCATAACTACAATAAAATGTTGTTCAATTTTGGCTGTGCCTTTATAGGTAAGGCAAACTTGTTTTGAATTAGACCACTAAGAATTTGACCCCAGCCTCAGTTTACTTTCTAGAAACTGGAGCTAACCTAGATTTGAGGAACATGGTTATTACCTGGTTGTAATATAGTCAAGACTTTGGGAAGGGCTTGGGAGATAGCTCGGTGGTCTAAGCACCTGCCTGTCAAGCGCAAAGTCCAGAGTTTGATTCCCAGTACCACATGCTGTTCTGGCCCCAGGACCCCAGGTATGCAGTACTGACCGAAACTGGGTGTGGTGACGCACACCCTGCAGTCCCAGTGCAGCACTGGTGAGGCTGAGACAGGAGGATCACTATGAGTCTGAACTGCATAGCAAGACCCTATATCCAGAAAAAAGGACTTTGGGAAAAGTCTAACATAACAGTGACTCTGGTAAACTCTTTCTAGACTAATGCTGTGACTGTAACTTTTTCTCTTCCTTAGGTATGATTTTCAATGAACGTGACCAGGAGCTGAGAGACCTGGGCTATCAGAAGCACGCCTTTAATATGCTCATTAGTAACCGCCTGGGCTACCACAGAGATGTGCCTGACACCAGGAATGCAGCGTATGTTCCTTAATCGTTTGATCCTTAAATGACAGTGTTTGCAGTGCCGATGTAAAAATTCATGCAGATGGTGTTGAGACTGTGCAGCTACGTCTGGTGCACTGGAAACCTGAGCTTGGGGCTGTGCGGCTGTGTGGTCCGAGATGTGCTATCGGAGTTCAGCCCCAGTGCCCCCCTTATTGGCTATGCTGCAAGGAGTGGAGACGGGTTGTCTTGGATTGCATATCCATGTATAATACACTTAATGTGTATAAATAACAGAGCTTTAAAATATTTTTATTATAAGATTTAAAAAGGGCAATGTAAACATGAAACTAGAAGGATATTTGACCTTTTTTTGAAACTTGCATCAGTGTTTGGTTTGATGAAGTGATTGCAGTTTTTAGTTCTTAACAATCTCATCAGAAATTTTGGATCTAATTCTACTCTTTCTGTGCTCCATTCTTAAAACAGTGTTTATGAACATACACACTACACAGGCAATGAATGCCAGGAGATGTGTGATTATGAAGCAAGTGACGCTCTCTGGGAAAATGCGTCTTAATAAAGGACTAGTGGAGTACATGATCAGATTTTTCTTTGAGTTTCAGTCATGTATATTCCAAAATTTAGCAATCATTTATTTTTCCATATCAGCAGTATTCTATGTGTAATTTTAACAATGTCATGAGCAGAAATCTATTTGAAAACATTTTTGTACTTCCTGTACCACAGCTAGTAAAGAATTATTTTAAGTTAAGAAATAATAACAAACCCAAGTTTAATAATCAGGTAAGAAATTTACATGACTTCTTAGTGGCAGCAAATGCCTGTCTCGAGGCCCACTTGCAGGATGGCTGTGACACCAACAGGCAGGACTGTGTGTTTCACGGGCTTGAGGCTGTGGGTGTCCGTTCCCCTGCAGCGTTCTACTGTCCCCTACGAGGCCAGTGTTCCAGTGCTGTGCAGTTGAGTCCTGAAAAAAGCCTCGAAAACTCGTGCGATTGTGTTGAAAGTTTACAGTCCTGTTGGGGCTGTGTTACTAGCTGTCTAGGCCTTCATGTGGCCAGCGGCTGCAGGTCGGGGACACCTCTCAGCTTGCTGTGTCTTAAATTTCATACCTGTGGAAGCGCAGGGGCTGTGAAAGGACTTGAGCCAAGCTTGTTTTAAATGCTAAGTAATGCTCTTATTCATAGCAGAGGGGCTTGACACCCGCCAGGAGTTACTTTCCGTAATTGTTTCTGTTTCCTTAGCTTCTTACTCTCAAAGCTTTTCACTCTTGCTCTCGCAGTCATTCATCTCACACAGGCATTTGCTAAGGGCCTCTGTTGGCCGTGCACCCTACTGGGCCTGGAAGTGAACAGGATGAGGTGGGGTCTCCAGTGTGCAGGATTTGGGGCCTGGGGGAGGCAGGTAACCAGAGAGTAGCCGCTGCACAGGGGAGGGCTGAGGAGGAGCCCTGGGCTGCCCCACCTGGCCTTCCCTTATGTGCATTGTGAAGGCTCTGGATTGGGTACCTCAGGGTCTGGGGGCGACTGAGCCGTGGCTCCTGCTGCCGTGGTGAGAGGGCATTACGGGTGAGGCTTCAGCGCCTGCCAGGAAAGCGTGCAGGACTCGGGGCTTGAGCGAATATTGTGTTGTTGCTGCGCCCCATCATCCAAGACACACTTGCCTACCATCTCTGTCACCTTGTCTTGTGATATTAATGAGAAAAAGTAGAGCTTTTAGAGGCAGAGCTTCATAATTTCTACTTTCTTTTGAAATCTCATTGAGGAGAAGCTGAGCAGCAGCTCACGAGTGCTACATCCAAGGCTTGCAGTACTTTCCATAAAGATAACTCTTTGCTGCTATGCAAGGCTCAAAAGCAAAACACCAGAAAGGAGACGCACACTGCTATGTATAACATCTCCACAAAAAGGGAGAAAATTGAAAGTTTTGAAATGCGGACCTCATGAGGTGTGGTGGTGTACGCCTAGAGTCCCAGCACTCACTCGGGAGGCTGCGGCAGGAGGAGCACTGTGAACTCGAGGCCAGCCAGAGCAGCACCCAGGACCCTGTCTCAAAAACAAGTGCACCTAAAGGAAGCGAGATAGCAGGTATCGGAGAGAGAAATTAAGAAGCCATAAAGCACTTGAATGATACACCAGTATTTTCTTGCATGTTTTTAAAAAGATTGCTATAATATAAGAGGGGACATAAGGAGACAGTGTGTTTAGTGAAACACAGTGCACCTGTTAAAATGCCCATTTTCTTTGTCTTTATTTTTACAGATGTAAAGAGAAGTCTTACCCAGCCGACCTGCCGGGAGCTAGTATTGTTATTTGTTTCTACAATGAAGCTTTTTCTGCCTTGCTCCGGACTGTGCACTGTGTACTAGACCGAACGCCTGCCCACCTGCTTCATGAAATCATCCTCGTGGATGACGACAGTGACTTCGGTAAGGGAGTCTCCAGGGACAAGCAGCAAAGCCACCTGGGCCATAGCCACGGATGCGGTGCCCGGAGCCCCGGGCTGCATAGTGGCTACAGGGTCGTTGAAGAGATGCCTGACCTGGCCAGCTGTTTGCAACTGTGCTGCCCAGGTTTGGCCCTTGAAGTTTTCCCTTGGTTTACTTTTTTTTTTTTTTTTAAAGAAGGAAAGGTTTATTTAGCTCACAGTTTGTGGAGGTTTCAATTCGTACTCAGCTGGCTCCGTGGCAGACTGGCACATGGGCAGAGGGCAGCAGTTCACGGCGGCAGAAAACGGCAAAGAGCAAGAGCAGAAAGGGAGGAGCAGTGGGAACAGCAGCAGACGTTTCCTTTGGTTTACATTTTAAAAACAGTAATTTTTTACAGAATAATCAGAGATTCTCAAAAGTTTACAAAGAGGTTCTGTTTAGTCCCCATCCAGGGTCCCAGTGTCTGGCTGTGTCTTACACAGTGACAGCGCAGTGCAGAAAGCAGCAGGAATTCCCTACTGGTACAGTGTAGGGTTAGCTGTCCGTGACTGTAACAGGAAGGTTTGTCTTGCTGACAGTTTCCGAGGTTTCAGGCCGTGGTTCGCTGGCTCCATCCCTTTTACGAGGTCATGAGGCAGGAGGTTTGTTGTGAGTTTTTAGGCCAGCTGGGCTCATAGTGAGACCCTACCACAAAAAGGAAAAAAGAAATCAAAGAAAAAGATTGAATAAAAAACAAAGAAGAGTATTTGCTTTGTTAAAAAAAAATTGTAAAAAAAAAAAAATTGGTGCCTTTGGAAGAAAGACACTAAACTAATAAACAGGTTGTGTTTATTGCTGCTATCATGTAATTCTCGATAGGGGCAATAGAAGGTACTTCTTAAGTACCAAGAAATTTAGGATTTATTGGAAGCCACTCACCTCTGTTTCTCCCGTGTCAGCGTGGCTTGCGTGCGCCTGCTGACCTTTGTGCCCGTGGGAGACTTGGGTACACTTGTCCTTGCACAGTGGTGGCAGGGGCCCTGGGACCCAGATCTCCAGCCACGGCGGCACTGCGGTGCCTTCTCTTGGCCGGGGCTCTGGCTCCCCCTTGTTACTGCTCTTCTTCCCGCAGAATCAGCTGCGAAACTCTTGAGAGCAAGCAGATTCTGTTTGCGGGCCAGTGTACTCCGGAGTTTTGCGTCACGATGTGCCGTACTGCAACAGCCGCCCCGCGCCTGTGCGGTGCCTCATGCGGCTCCAGCCTGTTGGCCCCTTGCTTGTTTATTGAGAGGACCTCGCTGTGTACTGGGCAGCCTGGAACCTGCTCTCTAGTGTCTCACACGGTTTGAGGAACTAGGACTTTTTTTTTTCAGATGATTTAAAAGGTGAACTAGATGAGTATGTGCAGAAATACCTCCCTGCAAAAATCAAGGTAATCAGAAATGCAAAGCGAGAGGGATTGATTCGTGGAAGGATGATCGGAGCAGCCCACGCCACAGGTATGGCAGCGCGGTTGGTTTCTCCATGGGGCCGGGGCCAGGTGTGGTGGGTGCCTGCAGTCTTTCCTGCTCCCTTGGAATTGGCAGTAGAAGTGGGCAGTTTGGCAAGTCCTCTTCCCAGTGGCCACCCTGCTGCCTGCTGGGAGAGAGAGGACCTAACTCGCGTTTCCATTGCGTGTGAGCAGAGCAGTCCATACCAAATGTACCTGAAGTTTTTTAATATAAAACTTAAAATATGTGAATCCAAACCATTTCTTGGATTATGTTAATAATTCTTAGTAGAGGACATACATACCTCTGAGACATGATTGTGATTTTAGTTGCTAAGACTCACCCCCAAAACAAGCTGTAACATGGCCTTGAAAACTACAGACCAAACACACCAGCCCCAGATGGCCTGTTGTGGCCTCGCTGCTGTCACTGTGTCGCTGGTCTACATGGTGGCTGTTCCCCGAGGCAGGTGAGGTGAGAACAGACTGACTCTGGCTGGGTTTTGACCTCAGGTCTTCAAGGCTGAATATTTTCCAGCTAGGTTTTCAGGGACACATGGGATTGGCTTCCATCATTACTAGGAAAGATGTTTCTAGAAAATTCCCTCTTTTTTGATTCCGTCAAGGAGAAGGTGCTGTCATAAAGGATCTTGGCATAGTGATGTCTGCATACTGCTCTGTAGAGAGGAAGAACAGGTTTTAAAGTCGGAGTCTTCTGTGGAGTGAGTAGTCTTCGTGGATACTGAGTTCGTGGTTTTTCTTTTCATGATTACCTGAAAAGAACCATGTGTCAACTCAGCAGTCCTGATTTTCTATAATCCTGATCAGTTTTCTTTTATTTTTTCTTTTTTTTTTTTTGCTCTGAATGCCTTCAGGGCAGGTTTGGCTAGCTTGAGTTGTGGGGATCGAACCACAGCAACCTGAGCCTGATTGCTTTGTTGAAGCAGCCACTTAAAGAACTGAGCTAGGGGGCAGGCCTCCATCAGTTTCCTTTTAAAGCAAATTTAAAGTCAAACATGAATCTATTTCCAAGTGGTTAGTAATTAGTAATTAGCCACAGTGGTGGGGCGGCCCTCGCAGGAGCACCAGCCGAGTTCTGTGTCCGTCCTGCTCAAGGGAAGCAGCCCCAGGTCTGTGGCACTCGGTAGTTACAGCTGAGCTGCCCCTGCCTGTCCCGTTGCCCGCATTCACTGGGGACTTCATTTCCAGCATCTTGTCCCCGTCTTTCGCCCCCAGTGACCTGAAGGAATTAACAAAGCCTGAGCAGTGGCTCTGTAGGGTCCAGCGTGAGCTGTATGCATGGCATCTGCATCCTAGATTCTGGTCAGAGCCCTGCCAAGTGGCCGCTGTGTTGAGATACCAAAAGCGAGAGCGAAAACTGGGCCATTTCCACATTGTGGTGTTTGACCCGCTGTGCTGTTACGGTACATTTTACTTTGAGCTCTTTTCAGATAATTTAGTTGTTCCTTCTGATCTGGTCAGGACATTGTTTAGACACAGTGTATGGTTTGTGGTGGCAGGTTCTGTGTGACTAGGTGCAGCCTTCCTTAACGTCATTAAGTTGGCATTAATTGGAAAAGTAATGTTCTGGAAGAAAGCTGTGAACGCTTTTCTTCGCCAGCTGTGCATGCACTGAGCCCGCCTCATCTTGAGTAACATCCATCTGGGCATTCTGGCTTCTGTGTTCCAGGACAGCTGGGGAGTGGCAGCCCATTCGCTGTCCTCTTTCAGGTCCTTTGAGAGGTACACGACGGACTCACCCTGAAGACTTCTCTGAGGTCCTTTCACATGAGTTGGAAGCGGGTGTCTCTGGTGGTTTCGTGTCCACCTGCAGTCTGTGTGGGTATAGCTCATAGACACAGCCAGACCAGTAGCGTGGACACAGTTAAGTTTAAATCATTTGGAATTATAAAAAACAAATCCTCATTCTTGCTTACATTTATCAGGAGTTGAAGATGCAGGTAACATTGTATATCTGTCTGGCAGCAGGGTGAGCAGAGGAAGGAGGACTGGTTTGGGGTGGGGGAGGAAGGGCGGAGGCGCCTCGTCACGTGTGTCAGCCCTGCTCTGCCCGCAGGGGTTCTCTGAGCCTCTGCCTTGCCCTCCTCAGGAGAAGTCCTCGTGTTCCTGGACAGCCACTGCGAAGTGAATGTGATGTGGCTGCAGCCCCTGCTGGCCGCCATCCTCGGGGACCCACACACGGTGGTGTGCCCCGTGATAGACATCATCAGTGCTGACACGCTGGCCTACAGCTCATCTCCTGTGGTGCGGGGCGGCTTCAACTGGGGGCTGCACTTCAAGTGGGATCTCGTTCCACTTTCAGAGCTGGGAGGAGCTGATGGCGCCACCGCACCAATCAAGTAAGGCTTTTTGCGCTTCGGAGCCCGGCCCTTCCAGAGCAGGACACCTGGGTTAAAGATCATTCCTGCCTGGCAGGAGCAAGCCTCCAGCTTGATTTCTCCATGAAGAAGTCCTGTGTCTTCACGTATTTGTGTGCTGTGCCACACCCTAAGGAAAGAGAACTAAGGGTGCTCGTGGGGGGCAGGTGCAGGCTGTCCAGGCTGACAGGTGCGCCGAAGCCGGAGCACCTTGGGTGCTGTCTGTGGGTCCACTGCGAAGTTTCTCGGGTTGGGCGTTACCTCTTGAGTTCTTTGCTGTGGACTGAGTGTACCCTGGATATAGAGCTTGAGATCAGAGGCATTTCCAATTTGGGATTTGTGCTGAGTTTTGTAATTTCAGATATCCATGATGAGCATCTTGGGTTGGGACCCCAGTCTGATACAGAATTCACTCCTGGTCCATGCTCATACTACCCACACAGCCCGAAGATGGCTGCGCACAGTGTCCTTGGGTCACTGTGACTGGCCGCCCGAGGCCACATGTGGGGCTGTCCACCTGGGGTATCATTGCAGCACCTAGCAAGTGTCAGACTTGGAAATGTTCTGATTTTTGGATAAGAGATGTTCCATGTGCGGAATGAAAAATGCTGTGAAGAACGGGGGCATATAAGCCTCGTTAGTTGGGGTTTCAAAAGTGAGTGTTGTCAGTGCCGCTGCCGAGACGTTGTCGTGCACGAGTCGCTCTGAGTTCTGTTTGTGTTCCGTCTTCGGTATTAGGGTCCGTGCATGCCGTTACTCCTTTTCATGTAGATTCAGAACTCTCTGCTTTTGGAGTTCTCAAACCTACTCTTTCACTTCTGTGAAAACGTAAGTAGAACAGCATCTAGGCGGTGTCCACATGCACACAACCTGCCCACGGTTGGGGTGGGGACGGCCCGTGCCTCATCCCAGAGTGTTACCTCGACCCAGTGGACATGGCCTGGCTTTCCTGTGTGGTCCCACCACCTACGGGTGGGTCTCTGAAAAGACCAGTGCAGTGTGGCCTGCTCTTGTTCTTTATACAAAGAAACCGTTTGATCATGTTATGTGCACAGCTGCCGTGCGCCCACTTCCGCTGCTGTAGGAGTCTGGTGTGGGAGTGGAGCAGAGTTTGGTGTGCACGTCCCTGTCTCAGTGGGGCGGTGGGTCCTGAGGGGCTGAGCTGATGCAAAGGCCAAGGTGTTGAAGAGTGTTCTCACTCAGGGCTTCTGCTCCGCTGTGCGGTTTGGGCCTCTACAGTTAGGTGTGACTGGCTAGGACTGTGCAGCTGTCATCTCTGGGGCCGGGGACTGGCCCAGCCCCGCAGCCTCATGGTGTCTGGTAAGCGGCTCCATGGGCACTGGGGGAGCCCACTGCATGCCCAGGCCTGCGGGTGACCCTGGGCTTCCGTAAGAAGCGCTGTCACACCAGATGATTCCGTTCCACTCATCTCCTTTGGGGACTCGGCTGTGGCAGCACTCCAGGCCAGCGCCGCCATCTGTCCCTGCCCCCTGCAGTCCTTGTGCTGCGCCCGGGGCAGAGAGCAGTGCATCAGCGTTTTCTGCTCTCTTGTGGATCCTCCGTGTTCCTTTTGTGAATGTGTGAAGTTTTCCACTGTGAAAAGCAAGCACCTCAGGCCTTGCAGGTTGCGTTCTGACCCTCGGCCTTCTTTTGCCAGTTTCAGGCTTTCTGCCTGTGTCTTCATTCTCATGGGCATGATTTTATGTCTTTGTTTTGAATGTTTTTAGTCATACTTGTAATCAGTAACACATCATGCCATAAAGAATGTAGGATGAACCCTGGCTGTCCTCTCCCTCCCTCACCACTGTTTCTGCTTCTCCTTCCCCATCTCTAGAGAGCCAGCGTGGTCCTTCTCAGCACAGGGCGTGGCCCGCTGGGCAGCTTATGGAAGCGCAGCCTGCCCACTGCCAGCTGCTGTGCTGGATAGTTTCCTTCTCATTGGCTCCTTAATTTTGGACATAGTTCCCTTTTTTATTCTATCTACTCTCAATCTTGTTTCTTTTCCTTCAAAAAAACACCAAGTCATTGTTTCTTTTTTAACTTTCTGGATGCCTGGCCATGTTTGCTCTTTCACTTTTGCTTAAACAGAATTTTACTTCTCTTGCTCCTACAGTTTGGACCACTCAAGTCCCAGGCCCTCAGTCCAGCGCGGGCGGGCATGTGAGGCCAGGCCTGAGTGCCTATCGGTCCCGCCTGCTTCAGCTTCCTCTGCTCCTGGCTCTGAGCTGACATCAGCCTAGCGGCGCCAATGTGTTGGGCCGCCCTTGTGTGATTTAGTTGGCACCATCCGGGGCCCCAGCCCTCAACCCTCATGTGACAGGTCGTGACAGCTAAGAAATGCCACAGCCAGCCCAAAGAGCCACTGCTCACCCACTGGATATGACCCGGAATGTGGGCAGTGTATACCCAGCAGGCCCCAGCGCCCAGTTATCCTAGGACTGTGTGGCTCAGAAGGGCACCGTCTGCCTCGGGAAGCTCTCAGTTCGCCTGGCCGTAGTACAGAAATCCTTTTGATGTTCAGTAATTTGGAAATGAGGTACTTTTTTTTTTCATTAGCAATTAAGATGTTTCAGTTGTAGGGCCCAGTTCATTCCCTGGATAGTCAGAGAAATGTTTAATAATAACTTACTGTGTGTGTTCCAGTCTTGCTAAATTTTTCAAAGGTTACTTTCCTTTTCCAGGTCCCCTACGATGGCCGGAGGACTATTTGCCATGAATAGACAATATTTCAGTGAACTTGGTCAGTATGACAGTGGCATGGATATCTGGGGAGGAGAGAACCTGGAAATATCATTTCGGGTAATGTTACGTGTGTTCACTTATTTTGCATGTTGTGACATACAGTTACCATCCATCATGCCTATTTTCTGTAAATTCTTTTACTGTATCGACACATTCTCCCTAGTGAATGCGGCTTTCCTATAGTCTGTGATACGAATATTATGTTTCGAAAGGGAGAAGCACACAGGAACACATTTGCTTTGTAATTTTTAGATTAACCGTAAGGCATGGTTGAGTAGAAGGCAGCAGGGGTGGGGTGGAAGGGCAACCTTGGGCGGCTGGAGCCCTGCCCTACTGAGGCGCCTGAGGCTTGCAGGGGCGCCCGGGGCCCCGCCTCCACACCCTGTTCTGGCAGCAGGGTCTGTCACGAGTTCCACACCACTGATGCTACACTGGTGTTAGAAGCCAGGAGTTTTCCATCATTTCTAGATTTAAGGTTGAAAGGAATCTCGTTGTTGTTTCTTTTAAAGATAAAGAAATGGAGCCCCACCAAAATTAGCAGTGCCCTAAAGTAATTCACATAACTCCTGGCACAGTTTAGACCAGAACTAAGGTCTTTTTAATTTCAACCGAATCTATATTTTTGTTGTTTAAAAAACTGCTTTTCATTTTTTGGGGGCCAGCAGGATAGCTCAACGGACTAAAGCGTCTGCTTAGCCAATTTTAGGCAATCCCAGGGGCCAAGGTTCAATCCCCAGTGCGGTGAGCCCCGTCCCCCAGGGCCGCTTGAGCTGGCGAGAGTCCAGGCCTGGTGGCGCAGGCCTGTAATCCCGTTGCTGGGGAGGCTGAAAGCGGGAGAATGGTGAGTCTCGGCTGCATAGTGAGAACCTGCAACAACCAAATACACACACACACACACACACACACACACAAACACCCTGCTTTTCAAAATTAGTATACATTTTTATAAGGACATACCTGAAAAGCTGAAATGAAAGGACTGGGTAATGTCATCCCTGTCTGACTTCCTGCGATCAAGCCCCTGGACCCGGGAAGGCGGCACGGAATGTGAAGCAGTTTCAGACGCAGCAGCACATACATAGTACACTATCACAGAATTTAGTTCACTCCAAAAAGATGCAGTTTTAAAGTGTCTACCTCTACCTTCTGTTTTTTGTTGTATTCTGTATTTAGGACAGGGTCTACAGGGTCTCAGTGTGTAGATCGGACTCCAGTGATTCTCCTGTTTTCTGCCTCCCAAATCCTGGGGTTACAGGCCCGCGCCACCACGCCCCTTGGCTGTCTCAGCGTGCGCCGAGGGCAGGGCCCGCAGGCCGCTGCTGCACTCTGCCTAAACAGGCGCTGTGGTCCACTGAGCTATCAGGCCAGCCCGAACCTCTAACTCCTGTGAACTCGTGACTGGGGACAAAAATCTTGGACTTCCGTAAACACCTAGTTAATGATTAATTTCATGTAAATTCAGTCCTTGACTTCACAGCAGTGGGAGGCAACGGCTAACGTGCCTTCGTATTTGGCCAGATCTGGATGTGCGGTGGCAAGCTGTTTATTATCCCTTGCTCGAGGGTGGGACACATCTTTCGGAAGAGGCGGCCCTATGGCTCTCCTGAAGGCCAGGACACCATGACGCACAACTCACTGCGCCTGGCACACGTCTGGCTGGACGAGTACAAGGAACAGTATTTTTCCTTAAGACCTGATCTCAAGACCAAGAGCTACGGAAACATCAGCGAGCGTGTGGAGTTGCGGAAGAAGCTGGGCTGCCAG